TTTAAGTTTTGAGTTCATTTTTAGTTTTTTGTTTTAAAATTATTTAAAACGCGTTTGATTTGTCATTTTAAAAAAATATTTTTCAAAACAGAAAACTAAAAAATCGTTATTGAATGTACATAACGTTGTTGCATGAGATGGTAAAACATTAGGGCATTTCAATTTTAAATTTTAAGTTTTAAGTTCATTTTAGCTTTTTCTTTTAAAATTGTTCAAAACGCATTTGATTTGTCATTTTAAAAAATTATTTATCAAAATAGAATACTAAAAAACATGTTTGGCTTCAAATTGTTTAAATATTATCAAATAATATATACATTTTAAAGTTGATGAATCTTACAATATTATTCATCGCTACAAAAGTAAAATAAATGATAAATTTCAAAATATAGAAAATAAACTAACTACGTGGATTGAAAATATTTTTATATGTGTTTATTTAAATATTTTTAAAAAAATATGTAATAATCATTAAGATCTTTATTATTTTTATTTTTTGTAATTTTTTTATTTTTCTAGAAATTTTTATTATTTTATTTTTTCAAAATTTTTATTTTTTAAAATTTTATTCGTTAGAATTTTATATTTTTATTCTTTATGTTTTTTATTTCTAAAATTTTACTTTAGATAAAATTTTATTTAAACACTTGTTTTCCATATTTTGAATGCTTTCAGAATACTCTAAACGTCAAAAATGTGCTTTGAATTTTATGTTATAAGTTTAACTTTGTTTTCGAAAATGCATTTTGAAAAATATCAAACCAAGTGCGTTTTTAGTATTTTGCAAAACTGAAAACAGATTGAAAATAGTAAACAAAATGTGCCCTTACTGTTTGAGGGACCTGCTCTTTTGCACTTCAAATTCTAAACTGGCACCACCAACTTTCTTTTATTTAATTAGCCTTCTTAAAATATGATCTATGCTAGGTATATCTAACTTTGTTTGATTATCGTGCCAAGATTTCTTCATTTTATGCAATTACAATTTCACAATCAATTAAACAAGATTATAGTTAGGGGTTGGTTAACAAAGAGTTTGATAAAAAATTTAGCAGATCTAATTTGATAAAAGTAAATGTATTGTGTAATTGAAAAGTTGAAAAAGTTGTTGATCCAATAAAATATGAGGTTAAAATTGAAGTTTGATCACTTGAAACGTTGATAAATTTTTGTAATTTTATTAAAGAATCACTAAATGTGGCAAGTCGACATTTTTAAAGATGCTTCTTAGTTCTTAACACCTCGACTCTAAGCAGTAATTTGCAAAACTTTACCAGTCAAAAGTAAATCGACTTTTACGTTCACGTTAAAAAACAAAAGATACTTTTTTTCTAAAAAAAACAGCATTAAGCATCAAGCGTGTTAAGCCAACTACGGAAGCAGCGGTCCATAATGCATGTTCTTTGTGTAAGTATTTACGAGCAGAACGTCTAATTTCATTCCATTTAATCACAGCCATCAATCAGATTAATGGTCTTCAGCTCTATAGATTCTCCACCAACCTTGATTCCCTCCCCCAGGTACTATAAAAACCACTTCTTCACAGCCATTGGGAAATCAAAAAACACCTAATTATTCTTAATCCCCTCAAAAACCCTCCTAGGTTAATATATTGTCTGTACGTCTCCTGTAAAAATGGCAGGAAACAACAAACAGAAGAAATCTTCTTCTAGTCCTTTTTCTCTTTTCAACATCTTCAAAGGCAAAAGCTCGAAGGGTCGAAGGGCAGCTGAAGATACAACTACTTATGATTCTTTAAAGGCTTACAAAGTGTGGCATAGTGATCAAGACAAAGGCCGATATGTGGCTGATCCTGAAATCAACAAGAAAGCTTCTCTTTACATCACTGAAACTAAAATAAAGTGGGAAAATGAAGCGGGTCCAACTAGTTAATTGTCGTCTTATTGCCTGGTTTATTGTTATTTAATTCCATCAGCTCCAACTTCTACATTCATTATGATAGATTGTAATTATTAAATAATTATCAGTATTGTTATAGGATGGTATTTGATCTAGTTGAGTTGTGAATTGCAAATAACAAAATGAATGAATGAATGAAATTTAGCCTCTGCTCAAGGCTTGTCTCTTCTTTAGCTTTCCTGTCTTAAATATAGTTTGAAACCATCCTAGAAATTTCTGGATGTGCATGGCCGTACTGTATTGAATTTCAGCAGATACATGTATGTCAGTAACATGTTTGGTTCCTTTACATTTGTACTTCTACTTTTGGCTTAATTTGGGATCCTCACCATTCAAACTTCAACCATGGGGATATTTGTTTCTTTTGCAAAGTATAAGATGCATGCAAAGGATAGATATTTCTTAACTATCCGTTGTCCACCTTGACAGTGATGCACAGTCCTTCGATGGATTGTATGATGGATTAAACTTGAAAAGTAAATTGTACACCTTTGCTTGGCTAACATTACGTCTTGTTGGACTTGAAAAAATTTTAAACTCGTCAAGTATAGTTATTATGCACATATTTCATAAGTATTTAAAAGTATGACTAAACAAATACTAAAATGAGATATTAGGGAAGACTGTAAAAGCTACTTTTAGAGAGCTTATAAGCTTTTTCGTACTTGTAAAATTTGTAGATTGTGGCGTACAATTGAGTACAGTAACTATAATATTGGCAACATTTGGTACATGGGATTCATAAAAATATGTTTTCACAGTAAAAATATGTTTTTTGTACTAAGAAATTAAAATGGTTGATGATCGTGTACTAGTTATTTTATTAAACCTAAGTCGTATAAATATGAAGACTAGTTTTTTACCTCCTAGAGCAAGCAAAAGTTACGAAAGAAGATTTATATCATAAAGTAATGCTGAGACAACATGTTGACAATACTAATTAGAATCGCTATAAGTGAGATACAATTTTTTTTTCTTCTATAAAATAATTCAGTCTATTCCACCTTCCCAAATATCAAATGACGCACTTGCTCCAGTTTCTAAATATAGTTATATTGCCTCATGCTTCACTTCTTCATTTAACTTCATACGATGGCAGCCCATAGATATGATTGGCTGCCAGTTTTAGTGACAAGATTTATGCTGGTTTTGCTTAGCCCACATGCAAGAAATTGACCCCAGATAGTGCCACAAGGAATGCACAAGGAATCAAACATGTTACTGACGTACATGTATGTGCTGAAATTCAATACAGTACGGCCATGCACATCCAGAAATTTCTAGGATGGTTTCAAACTATATTTAAGACAAGAAAGCTAAAAAAGAGACAGGCCTTGAGCATAGGCTAAATTTCATTCATTCTGTTATTTGCACTTCACAACACAACTAGATCAAATACTATCCTATAACAATACTGATAATTATTTAATAATTACAATCTATCGTAATGAATGTAGAAGTTGGAGCTGATAACAATACACCAGGCAATAAGACGACGCTTAACTAGTTGTACCCGCTTCATTTTCCCACTTTATTTTAGTTGCAGAGATGTAAAGAGAAGCTTTCTTGTCGATTCCAGGATCAGCCACATATCGGCCTTTGTCTTGATCACTAGGCCACACTTTGTAAGCCTTTAAAGAATCTGGAGGAAATGTATCTTCAGCTGCCCTTCGACCCCTCGAGCTTTTGCCTTTGAAGATGTTGAAAAGAGAGAAAGGACTAGAAGAAGACTTCTGCTGCCTGTTGTTTCCTGCCATTTTTACAGGAGATGTACAGACAATATATTAACCTAGGAGGGTTTTTGAGGGGATTGGTGTCTTTTGATTTCCCAATGGCTGTGAAGTTTTGGTATTTATGGTAACTGGGCGAGGGAATCAAGGGTGGTGGAGAATCTATAGAGCTGAAGACCATTAATCTGATTGATGGCTGTGCTTAAATGAGATGAAATTAGACGTTCTGCTCATAAATACTCACACAAAGAATGTGTATTATGGACCGCTGCTTCCATAATTGGCTTAACATGCGATGAAAAGGTTGATTCTTGTATAATTCTTAGTATATATTCCTTCAAGTACATCTTTAATTATTCACCTTTTGACTTCAAACT